TGTTTTTCGTTTTGGCAGGGAGGTACAGGAAAACCAGTAGACCAAAACGAAAACAAAACGAATACATTATGAATTACAGCGTTTAGGTCCAGCCTTGTTAAAGGCCGAGAGAGTTGAAGGAGGAAACCGGCATAAGCATAAATTTTCGACGCTCCGCGCGGATTTCTGGCATCCGCGCTGGGCCCCCCGGGCGGCGCCCACGGCGCCGCCCCTGGCGAGCTCCGCGCGCCAGGGAGGGGGGTCCAGCGCGGATCGTAGAAATCCGCGTGGAGCACCAACAGTTTATGTTTGTGGCGTTTGTTCTTCTTGTTGGCAGATTCGCGTGCTCAGCTGCCCTGATGCGCCCGTGTAGAAACGCAACGCGTGCCGTGCTCAAGGCGTCCGTGTGAGCACGCGGCGTGTTGTGTCGACGTGTTGGCCCACGTTTGGGCGAACGTGTCGCGCCAGTTCACGTGTCGAGTGTGTTGGGCTCCGTGTCAACGCGCTGCGGGCTGCCTGTTGCGCACCGGGGCGGCCAGGTTCGCGCGGGGTCAGAGGCCAATGCCGAAGGCGTCTTGCCACGAGCTTGCCGTGCCCAGGAGCAGCTCTTTGTCCCGCAGCCGTTCCTCGGCGGCCCCGGGGATCCGCGGCGGGCCCCGGCCGAATCGGGCTTTGGGAGGTCCACGGGTCCGTCTTGAGGGCCTTCCCTTGCTGTCGAGGGCGTCCAACAGGGTGTACAAGACTCGGCACACATTCATTCACGGCTTTTGTTTTCGGCGCTTGCGCGGTCGGCGCTATTTCAATGCTGGCATGAGGCGTGTGGCCCACGCGCAGGGGTGTCCGTAATTCGGCAGTGCCCTCGCAGCATTGAAAGACGCGTTTTCTGACAAGATGCCCGAACTCTCGGGCGCTTCGATTTTGAGCGGCTATTCTGACGAGGCTTGTAGGGGCGCCTGGATGCCCTGACTGGGACCATGGACGCTCCCAGACTTCAAGACCATGCCTTGTTCTTTCAGCACGTTCCCTGTTTAAGGCTAGATTGTGATTAACCAAAGGCTCCCCCCCCGGGGCTGATGAATAGACCCCGTCGTCGTCGTCGCCGTCGCCGTCGCCGTCGCCGCCGCCTTCGTCGTCGTCGACTACAGCGGGCCCGCCGCGCAGCACCTCCCCCTCCCTAATAGGGTATCCGCAGTGCGTCGTCGTCGTCGCCGCCGTCGCCGTCTGCCGTCCGTCGTCCTCGTCCTCCTCCTGTCGTCGTCGTCTCGTCGTCGTCGTCGACGAATAGAGCGGCCGCTGGAAACGGGTGCAGGCAGGGCGGGGGACGGCGGCGACGACGGCGACAAAGGGGGGGGAGGAGGATTACCCGCCTTGCTCGGGTCGGACGAAAGGCTGGGGAGGGAAAGGGGGGGTTGCAAAGCCTGCTGCGCGCAGCTGGTTTCGGTCGCCCCGCCGAAGGGCCAGTCCTGGACGCATGGCCGCTTTCGGCGCCAGGAGGCTCTTGGAAAATCGGCGACGTGAGCTGCTTGGCAAATCCCCCCCTTGCTGCGCCCCACTTTCGTCCAGGCCGCCTTGCCCGCAGGCCCGCATCGGCTCGACAGAAAAAGGGGCGCCCTGGCTCGCCCTTGCCTCCAAACACCCCCCTTCCCCCTCGCTGGCGGCCGGGCATCGGCGCTAATCACGGGCGCCGCCCCGTTGATTTTCAATCTGGCGGGCGCCGCTCCGCGATTCGCTCGAGCAGTGTAACTATGTTATATCTGTATATATATGTATATAAAAACACGCCCCCACGGGTTTGTTATTAACAAGCTGACATTACTTCCTCATCCGCGCACATGTTTCGGGCCATGATGTGTACCCCATCCGCTTCATGGCCCCTCCTCCTGGTGCGCCCGATGCCTCCTTGTGACGATGGTGGTGCTGGTGTCGTACTTTTGTGGCCCGTACCGCTCCTCCTCCCGACTGCTGGTGGCATCCCAGAGCGACGGCACTCGATCTGCTCGAGCCGCGGGTTTCCCGACCTCTCGCCTCCGGAGCGCGTTTTTTTTTTGTTTTTGTAAAGCTCCTGGCAAATTCATGTGCACGGCGTTCCCCCCCCGCTCCGCCGCCTCTTCAACCAGCGTCGGGCCGAAGAGGCGTGCAAGTGTGGGTCGACACGTTGTCCCTTCTTGATGCTTTACAGGCGGAGTTTTCAAAAACCTGGTCAGGAGTCTCTCGCGCTTGCGGGTCTCTGATGCCAGACGTATGGCACCGTTGAACAGAACCCCAGACATGGGATGTTTCGCTTTTCAATCTGAGGTCCTGGGAGGTCCCGAACCTGTCCTCAGAGCCGCTTTTTCATGCCGAACCGTTTTCGGGACCCGGCGAGGGCCCCATGAGGCCGAACAGTACCAAGACCATCCCGCCGTGATGTGTGTGTGTGTGATGACGCGAGGATGTTGTGTTATTCCCAGGCGCGTAACGGCCGTCACCCCGGCCAACTCCCCCCTACCGCTCCCCAGGTAACGGGGACGATCGTACGCGCGGGGGTAGGGGGTGGGCGTGGACATCCCACCCATGGGGGCCTGGAGCCCCCACCATGCGCGCATACTACGGCGATCGCAGCGCAACCCCGTTCCGACGTGGCCCGCTCCACCCCGCCCGAAGAGTTCCCGTTACCCTGGGCCCCAGACCCCCGCCCTCCTGGGTAACGACCGCTACCAGAAATGATAAGACATACCTTCAGCACGGCGCCCTACTAGCAGCAAGGGTGAAGAGGCGGGCGGGGGTCGAGGCGTAGAAGGTCGAGACACGGTCATGTGCACCTTGGCGTTTTTGTCCCAAGGGTCGTGGCCGTCCGGACCAATCATGCCGCCGGCATTGAGGCGAGGGCACGATCCTAGAATCAGTTTTGAGGGCGTCTCAAGCGAAACGGTTGCGAGAACGGCCGGTCTGTAGGGCTACCCATCCCAGGGGGGCACTCTTCTTAAAACAGGGCTAGGATCGGGATAAATCGCTCCAGAGCGTTCCGGAGCGCTCTCAGAGCGTTCCGGAACGCTCTGGAGCGGCCGCGGCGCCCAATACATCCTCCAAACCCGCCGATTCTCAGAGATTTCGAGTTATCCCGATCCGATTTTGTCCCGATCTTCGTGTCGTTTTACTTCTGTTTTGTTATGTTTCTAAGAAAAATTGGGATTCTGTAGCGAAGCGCTATTGCGAAGACCTCACGGCCCGTGCCGCCGAACGTGAAGGGGGGCGACGAGTACAACGGCGGCGGCGGCGGCCACGACGACGACGACG